CTTCAGCCTCAGCCTCTTCTTTCACGCTGGTCTGCTGTGGCTGATGCCTGCTCTGTTCTATTTTTTGATCTCACTGTGGCTGTCCTCGCCTCTGGCTTTAAATTTATGTGTGAGGTCCCAGGACCAGGGCCATATTGAATTACAACACAATAAAGAATTACAGGAAAGCACATTTAAGTGAGATCAACGTACAAGTTTTGAAAGTGAACATTTTTGACAAGTACCAACCTCAGATTAGAAATACAGCTAATGCAGACATACCAAAAACTGCATTTCTTCCAGTGACCACTTAAGGCTTCCTCTAGAGGTGAGTGAGTCCTCAAAGACTTCTATGTTTACAGCCTGATACAAAAAAAACTCACTGGGGTTGGTTGGTTGGTTGGTTGATTGATTGAATCAATTTTTAAATAATTAATCCTTTTGAATTTTGTTAAGGTTTAAAGTCGATTGAGAGGTGTACCAAGACAGAGGGAGCTTTACCTCCACTGATCTGAGATCTAAGTCACATAATATTTGCTAGCATTAGCTGATGGATTGACGATCCACTCAATAATCCAATCTCATTGTGACTTCTGGTTCCAGAAAATGGAGCTAAACCAGAAGCTTATACGTTCTCAAGGTCAAAAACCAACAGGTCAAAGCATCGGGCTTATCCTTCTTTGATATACAGCCCATGATCATTTTCTGTCCTTGTCCTTCTTCTGCAAATGCATTTCAATATCGCATAAGGCTTATCTGTAAACAAACACTCCCAAGATAATACAGCGTGCACCTTTGTCACTTTGAATTAATCTGTAAGAAACTGGGTGCTTAAGGATATGTTCGCCAAAATTACAAAAAGCTCTGGCTAATCCATAATACACACTGTCCTCAGATTTTATTGGGACTGTCGCTTCAGATAAAAGCAGTTCATAGTGAGGTCTGTGGATTATCCAGCAAGGCACAGCAACCGGTCTGGAGAGCACGTTGATTTATTTTTTTTAAACAGAAAAGTCCAAACGCAGATAAACAAAAGAGGAACAATTAACATAACTTGGGTTCGCCAGAGTGAAGTGAAAAAAAAGGAAGTTTTGTAATAATTTCCCTAAAGTGTCTTTTTAGTTGTAAATCCAATAAGCTGTGTGGAGATGGCTTCCTCCTGAAGTTCTCATTAGGATACACGTCATCCAGACCGCACTTTAACTGTGCAGACTTTCTATGTCTGCTCATGCATGCATGCATAAAGTGTGCGTTACACAAGGCTTTGGCGCCTGATTTCAAAGGATTCATTAAAAGCAGAGAAAGGCTTGATCTGCAGTCTGGGGTTGATGCACTGAGTGTGTGTGTGTGTGTGTGTGTGTGTGTGTGTGTGTGTGTGTGTGTGTGTGTGTGTGTGTGTGTGT